AGTAAATTTGTTTCGCGTGGTATTATCCTCGCTGATACTTATGTACTTATCTCAATGCTGGGGACAAACTGATATACGCGATCTGGATATCTACGAGAGAAGATATAGCTTTGATACTAGTATGTATTATTTTTTCCTTCACTATAAAGCGTACTAAAGTTCACCGGTAACTAGAACCTTTCTTCGAAAACAAAAAAACCAGCCCTCGGTGCGACATATGTGGTAGGGTGTAGTGCTTTTCGCGATGGTAGTCTTCGCCTGTATTTGGTCCGTAGAGGATTCACTACCGCGTCCCTCACGCAGAAAACAATATACGCGAATGGATCGGAAACAGATATGTCGCTCGATCATTGGGGATTACCGATGGTTTGTTCGTGTTCAGTGAATTTCTTGAAGTTTTTAATAATTACATTCTTTCCTATTGAACGATTTTAGGGTATTCTACCGGGCACTATTTCAAAAATTTCGAAAACAAACGTACTATTTGCATATATGAACATAACTAACTTAGTTCCAGATGAAGAGGGCCCGATTCAAGAAGACACTTGGGCCGGAATCGCTGACGAGAACGGAAACCTACTGCAACGCATGCTTTTGGTGGAAAACGAAGACTTCGATAACATAAATGATACCTTTGGGGTCAAAAGCAGGGGTCGTCAGTTGGTGGCCAATGGCGATAACTTTATATATGTGAGTACCAAATATTCAAGAGGAGCTTGCGTAAATATGAAATGTCAGAATAATCAATTTTAATATGTGAACGATATAGGTTTATTATCAAAAAATCACGGATCAATGTAAAACCATCGTGTGGAAGGTATATAAAAACATGACCCTAGCGGGTTCGAATCGATACAACACTACTGTGGAACAAGGATGTGTTAGATCTTACAGTGCCGAACCAACAATGGATGGCGGATTCCTGATTGTCTGGTCTGTCACGATTTCTCCAAATTCAACATCACTACAAACCCAAAGCCAAGTGTATGCTGTATTCTTGATGCCAGATTTTGCTTACGTCAAGACAAATCCATTCGTGATATTTTCTGGCTTCATGGCATATGAAATAAAAATTTTAGCGTGTGCAGGATCTAAATTTGGTCAAGGGTTTAATTGTTTCTTGCAATTACGGACGGACATAATTGAAAATGATGCTCAACCGTACCAAGTAACTTTCTTATCAAGTGGAATGATTTACGACGTTATGCGCCTTGGATCGAATATCACAGACATCCAACCATCTTTCGAGGATTTTCTTGACGTTATGGTCTTACCCTTAGAGTAATTACAATTTCATCACCATAATGTAACATATGAATTTCGCGATTGTTCGTTTAACTTCTGTCCCTCTGCCACAGGTACGGAGGTTTTCTTTTGGTATATAGTAGCCTACGTCAGGGTTTTGATTACGAAGATTCTTTCGCAAGAGGTATCCTTAATATTTTTTCAACAGATAGTAAACTGGACAGGGAGCAAACCACGCGCGAGGTTTATACTGGTGGTGCCTGTATTTTCCCAAATAATACGGCGGTACTTACAGGAATTCCGTCAGATTGGTGGGACTTAACGACTCCAAGAGGCTATGCCATATATACCATAGATTTGCCCAGGTTTCATAATAAAGGTATGTGTATTATAATTGTACCCCTTTTTAACTGGTGCATCTATCTACTCAAGCCATTCGACACCTGCAATGCATCATTATTGTAGTGAGAGTTAAATAAAAAGCAAACTGCCACTGCTACTACTGGTTATGTTATTTAATTATTAGATAACGGGTATCAAAATCCAAATATTCTCTCATCAGAACCTGCAGTAAAAGCCACTAACGTCCCAACAACATCTGACTCCACGTCTTTTTTCTTAAGCCTCAATTATCGAGGTCAAGTCGTGCTTTCTGGCCGTGGCAGCATAAATGTATATCA